CCCCCTGCCTCTACCTGGCTACGCCCATGCCTCTTTCGTCTGACATCTATTTGACTATTGACTGCTTAAACAGGTGACAACACTATTACATTTAGTGAAGTTGCAACACTATTACATGTAGTGAAGTCTTTTCAAAACTATTTCGATTGATACCCATTTTGTAATAATTCATTTAGATTACAAAATTACTTTAATTAAATTTTTTAAAGAGCTGGCAACCCTCTTCCATAACACCAAAAAATTTTAAATTTCCGGAATTCGTCCCTAAAGTGAACGTGCATAAGAAAAATAAATAAAACAAGTAAGAAAGTCTAAGTTCGGGCGGAGCCGAACATTAAATACCCGGCGCAAGTATTAAATACATATATGTTTTTCACCTTTCCGAAAGCTACCGCTACATGGTAAGCCGGGGTGTGTCAATTTTGAGTAAATTAGCGTCCTTAAATTTCGAAATATTGAAGTTTCAAGCATTTCTGAAATTTACCGTTATATGAAAAGCGGCCGTAATTTTAGTCCGATTTCAATAATTTTGAACGCTTTGCTTTTACGTGGCAAGCACAACAAAAATACCGCGTTTGGTACAAATTGATAGAACCGTAGTGGGCGGTGCCACGCCCATTTTCCGAAAATTTAACCATAAACGTATTTCTTGGTAAAGAATTGTTGCGAGCATCAATTTTGAATAAGTTAGCTTTAATATTTACTGATTTATCGAAGATTTTGTATTTCTCTAAATTACCGTTATATGGGATGTGGGCGTGGTTATTGTCCGAGTTTTTAAATTTTCTGCCATTTGGTATGCTGTATCAAGGCCAAAAACTGTGCCAAGTTTGGAAGAAATTGGTGCAGCGGTTACCAAGATATGCACATGTAACCATAAGTGGGCGTGACTACGCCCATTTTCCAAAAATTTATAATATTCTTATTTTTCGTCTGAAAATTATCACAAATATCAATTTTGAGTGAATTATCTTCAGTAGTTGCTAAAATATCGCAGTTTTCGTATTTCTGGAAATTACCGTTATATGGGAAGTGGGCGTGGTTACTGTCCGATTTCGCCCATTTTCAATACCAACCTACCTTGGATTAACAGAAACCTACATGCCAAATTTCGTTGAGATATCTCAATTTTTACTCGAGTTATCGTGTACACGGACGGACGGACAGACGGACAGACGGACGGACAGACAGACATGGCTTAATCGAATTCTCACGATTGAGAGAATACAAAGGTTGCGCCGATCTCGGACCGCTATTCCTCTCTTAATGAATTTGACAGAATCGTTGTTTGCATGACGTCACACTGGTGCAAGTTGTTTACATTTTCCTTGCGACATTTTTTCTTCTTCTTCCATTCTTGCTCACGTTTTGGCATTTCTCTCTCGCAATTGCACCAGTGTGACGTCACACAAAAGTTATTCTCAAAAATCCTCTCTGATCGGCGCAATCTTGTATTCTATCATTCTTGTCGAATTCTCTATTCATTCTGAACCTTTATGTATACATTTGTCTATATCTATCTCTATTCGTTTTGGCTGTTACAAACAACCGTTATGTGAACAAAATTAATATACCCTTGTGCACAAGTGCGCTCGGCTAAAAAACACATAAACTACAACTCCTTAAAATAATTTTACTCTTCACTTAACACTTTCTTTGACAATCATTTTTTGCTTCTCCGTCTTCTTCAGTTTCCTCTTCAAGGACGGTCATTGTCTTTGCTGTGCGTTTTATTTTGCCAACATTTGTTATCTACTCAGAGCAGATTTTTCTTCCCGTAAGGCTAAAATTATTTATTTTATTTTTATTTCGCAAACTTTTCTAACTTTCTTCTCCACAGTGCTGCTTTGTGGGCATTTTCATACTCATTAGGCTACTTGAGGGATTAGCCGCTGGTGTTAAAATGAGTTGAGTTGAATTATAGCCACTCGTACTTGTGTGGAAAGTATCTTTGTAGATGCTTGCTGCTATGAGCTTATAGTAGAAACATTTTATAATAATAAATGATACTTTTCCACGTACATATGTATGTATATATATAATCTGATTTTTTGTTTGTGTTGGCGCATTTAGCTATATAAGCATCGCATTTAGTGTCATCTGGCACGTGTCAAGTGCGTATGGCTTCCTTGTTTTGCCTTTTTTATTTTTCTATTATTTTCACTTTTTCGCTTTTTGCCCAGATTTTATGCTCTAGCTTTATGAGTTTGTTTACATAACTAGTTACTATTTAGTATAGCATGAGCTGCTTGAGCCGGCTACGTGAGTGTTCATTAAAAGTACTTGAGAAGTATTCAGTTAGTAAAAGTTGGGAAAGTTGAATAATCGCTTGCTTTTTTGTGTGTTTTTGGATAAAACCTTTTTGGATAAGCCATCTGGATATGTTGCTGACGGTTTAAGGTAGCCACGACATCCCCCAAAATATTTCGGAAAAATTTTAAGATTTACGTAAGCTGGATCGATTTGAAATTACCTCCAAAAATCTAATTATTTTTATTCCGTTGATAAAAGCTCTTTTATCGGACTATCGACGACATTTCCAGCTGGTATCGAGCTATGTATGTAGAAGACTAGCAGCTATCTCTAAAGCATAAATCTCAGCTTCGAATACGTTTGGTAGACGAAAATGCTGACTAATCGACATGTCCTCCGAGTAGTTAGGGAATGGCGTCCATTTCTTGCTCCCTGTTTTGAACCGATGGTGCAATTTTTATGCGACTAAAAATTTGTGTGCAATTTATAAACAACGCAAAAACTATTTCAAGGATTTTTATGTCTAGAAATGCCTACAACTAAGTATCCTTTTTTGAACTTGATGAAAATTTATATTTATGTAAAATGTTCAAAAATATATCGAACCCTAATCGCCGAAAAGGCGTAAGCGAAATTTTGTTTTTGATGCCGAAATGTTCCTAGAGCATCTAGAAGCATTTCTGCATCAAAAATAAATATTTGAAAAAAATGTCCCTTACGTCTTTTTGGCGGTTATGGCTCGATATGCTGTTTTTAAATTATCACGAGTTCTTGAATGACCTAAAAAATTTATGTTCAGTTTGAAAGTTACCAAAAGTTTACATGCATACATACGATGTTCCATTTTAAAATACCTTTAACATATTTGCTTTTTTAGCTTTTAATGTTCGAAAAAGGTTTTTATGTGACCAAAAATATATGTCCAATTTGTAAATTATCGTACATTTTTTCTCGTTTTTACGTGGCCAAAAATGTTTGTCCAATTTTAAAATGATATCACGTTTTTTCTCAGAATTTAGATAAATTTCCAAAATGGATGTCCAGTTTTAGTGAGTTAGTTTAGTGGTAAGATGTCCAATTTAAAAATAACCAAACATTCATGGCGAGTTTTAGAATTCTACGCCCAGTATTTAAACGATTTAAAATTTATGAAAGAAATATATATATATATATATATTTTTTTTATTACCGAAAATTATGAAAAATTCATGTCCATCTAATTGCGTTTTATTTCGCACTTTTCAGGTGACCCTTATTAATGGAAATAATGTTAAAGCTGCTGGTGGTACTTACAACATCAACATGCTTATTTTCGACTGTTAATTCCGGAGTACCAATCGGTTGGTATTATAAAACCCTCTTTTAAGAAATCATTCTAGTATCCATCATCTACCTTATTTTAATCAATATCTTATCCCCTATCCCAGCTACTGGCGGCCCATCGCTAATCTACGAAGGTAAAGACGCGCTGCTCACATGTGTTGTATCAGAGAACCGAGCCAATCACACAGTGATATGGAAGAAATCCGACGAAATACTCACAGCCGGTATGGTGAGAGTGACGAGCGACACACGCATCAGCGTGTTGCATGATGAGAGTGAGTGGAAAAGGGGTACATACTACTTATTAAGTGTGTTTGCTTGTGATACCGATGATATTATACATGCATCTTTCGTTTAGATCCCAAAGGTCTTGAGTCTGGTGGGGAGGTATGGGTGTTGCTTGTCAAGCGACTTACCACCGAGGACTCGGGTAGTTATATTTGCGAGCTAAATTCAGAACCGGTCTTGCGTAGTATACACATACTAAACGGTGAGAAGGGTGGAGAGAAGAGTTACACCCCGAGAGTCTAAGGATACCTTGCTGGTATCTGTATTGTGCATTTTTTATTTACTACATTCTCTTTGTTCTTTTTTATTCATACCCAGTCAAGCAGCTACCCTCTAATGGCGGCAACATCACTACCACTACAGAGTCGAGTGATGTGTACCTCGTGCCGCCACCGTTCGATGCCACCGACAATCGCTCGTTTTGGCGTGCGCCCACGGTCGCGCCGCAGATCACCCACGACTTCACTGAGTGCTGTGAGCGCGCCAATATCAGCGCCGAATGCATGGGCTTCTGCAATGTGCACAACATCATAGACGGCACGACAGGCATCGAGCCGGAGGCCTGTGAGAAGGACTTCCCTAACATCGTACGCTGCATGGCCGATGGTCGCAATCACGTGCCTTGCTGTGTAGATAAACAAATACCTGATCTGTGTCAAGATATGTGTCGCGGTGAGTATACACCTTTCACGGATTTGCTGAAGACGCGCGTCTCCTGTGTGCACCACACGCTAAGCGGACTTCAGTGCATACTACAGGGTGTGCAGAATATACCCAGCACACCAACGGGCGTCACAGTCGATCATGTCTCAGAGACGCGTGTCACCGTGCATTGGTACGAACCGGAAAAGTTGGCGCATAAGGTTAAATTTTACAGTGTCAATCTAACAGCGCTGCATAGCTTCGATGAGGACGAAGTGTCCAATGTGTATGCGTGGAAGAAGCGCCCAATCGAGCAGACTATCATACGCACCGTGCCCGTAAATCAGACCTCACTTAGCTTGCAGGATCTCACGCCGCTCACAATGTACGCAATCGTGGTGACGGCGCACAACGAATATGGCTCGAGTTTGCCCAGCGAACGTTTGCGTGTTTTCACGCACACAAGTGAGATACTTACACCCATGCCTAGTGATGATGCAGAAGCATCGGCTTCGGTGGAATCCGTCATGCCAGACTTACCCAATATACGCAGTTGTTGTGAGACAAATGGCATGACGCATCGCATGTGTCTGGATAAAATGTGCGATCCACAGAAGACCGATCTCGCTACGCTACCCGATTTTATGGTTTGCGCGCCTTGGTCCAACATCACTTTCACTTGTCTGGCCAATAAGATGGATCACACACCCTGTTGTCGAGCGCGTGGCATACCGGCGGTCTGCTTTCCGCTTTGCTCGGGCAAGATCTCAACGTTGGACTTTAGTCTTTTCAAGTAAGTAAGCGCTGGGGACATTCTGGGCTACGTCCTAGAGTAAAATGTTTTCATTTGCCCGTTCTAGGTGCCTGCGGTTCATGTCCGAGTACAGCAGCTGTCTGTTCCAGGGTTACGGCGTGCTGGCAGATCCACCTTCGATAATACGCACGGTAGCTAAGGCGGATAGTTTCATCATTTTAGACTGGAACAAACCAAACCGGTTGGCTGAAACTATAAGTACCTACCATGTGAAGTTTAGGCGGCTGGGAGAAGGCGACGACTATCTGACAGTAGTGAAGGTAAGTAATTCTGGATGACACATCGATAGAAAGCAGTTTAACACCAAAGGTTCGTAGTTGTTGAAATGAAAATTAGAACATAGAAATGCCATAACAACGGGCCCGCCTTAAACCATGCCAAGGTAAAATACTTCCACCGAACGTTTGATAAGAGGCGGTCGTCAGAACCAGGCTTTGATAAAAGAATGAACAACACATCAATTGGCTTGTGTTTCAGTAGGGGATCTAATGATAAGAAAGGAGGTATCTGGAGCAAAATAATTGTCTGACCCTATCACATCATACTTTTTGAGGTCTCTTCTGATGGAGTTAGCTAGAGAGAACTACGCTAGTTAGGCAGGTAGACTGCGTGCAATGGGCCACCCTTATAAGAGTTAGTGTAGTACTGTGCGCGACAGCAGGTCTGTAATCAGCCTCAAGGACTTCGGATCCCTGAAAAGTTCATAATCTGGGCAGTCCAAATTCTTTAAGCTTTCGTCCCTGCACACACACATACCTTACTGCATCTCTGCGCTATTCGCTGCTATGAACTTATGTTTAGGCTACTCTGCGGTAGTGTTTTTTCGGGAGAAAACTCTGTCATTGAAGAAGTAGTAGAGACACTTTCAAAAGTGTGACGGAAAAGAGGAGGTTAGCATTATCTACTCTGATAATCAAGTGGAAATCAGGTCTCCGAGTTCACATGGTGATGACGCGGGACACTACATGGCTGCCGAATTGACTATGCGTGCATATGCCAAGGCTTCGGGAGGAGGGATATTGAAGTACATTCTCTCGCACTTCATGAGCGACCCACAGGAACTTTTTGGTTGGCTGGTGGCGTTGCATAGATTGAGCGGTGATTACCATTGAAAGTAATGTGATATTATGAGTGTGTTTTAACCAGGGACGACTACTGCAACCTAAACTAATCGACTAACAGGGAAATTCTGGCAACTGTCTATCAGCCTATCACAGACTTTTGAAAGACAAAAGTTATGGTGTTCGCTTTTAGCAATAAGTTTTTTTTTAAATACTACTAAATTTTTAAAGAATATACTTATATTCATATGTCCTTTTAAAACCATAATTAATTAAAGAAAAATGAATACAAAAAAATATAAAACTAAAACAAAAAAAGCGAAAACATATAAAAATATTTTTAAAAATTTAATTAAATTAAAAAAGTATTTATTCTTAAAAAAAAATGAAGTGTAAATATTTATTTTGAAACAGAAACAAATTAAATCAAAAAAGAAGAAAATAATACTTAATAAATAAAAAAAAAAATATATAAAAAAAATTCTTAAAAAGAAATCTAAAATTTAAAAGAAAGTTAAGATACAAATAAAGACAAAAAAATAATTAAAGTAAAGAATAGGATCCTAAAAATTAAATGAGATAAAAAAATATTTTTTTTTTCAAATAATAAAATCTGAAAATTCAAAAAATTCAATTAACACAAGCAATTTTTAAGCCAAAAGCCAAACCGACTTCAATTCTCATATAAAAATTTAAGATAATCGTTAATTTCTTCACGATCCAATTATCGGATCTAAACAAAGTTACTAGCGACCACCCTTGAGGTACCGCCTTTCCGATGAATTATCGAAATCGGTTAACGTGGTCCAAAGTTGTGCGGTAACATACATAAAAAAAAATATTCCGAAAGAATATTCTTCCTTTTTTGAATTCGGTTAAAAAGAAAAACAAATTAAATTTTCAAAAAGAAAAAATAAATAAAATAAGTTTATACAAATTGAATGAAATTAAAAAGATATTTGACTTCTTTAAATAATAAAATTTTAAAATTTAAAGAAAATTAAACAAAGAAATAAAATAAATTTACTTGAATTAGAAAAAATATAATAGGCATTTTTTCACAATAACTTTAAAAAAGTAAAAGAAAATCAACTATTTAAGAAAAGAAAAAACTAAATTAAAAGTATGCATAAAATATGTTTCTATAGTACAAATTAAACGAAATAAAAAAATATATAAACAAAAAAATCTAAAAATTAAAAGAAAATTTAATTAAAAAAGGAAAAAACTAAAAAAAAGAAAAAAATCGCTGTCCGATGATTCAAACTCGGATCTCTTTGCTCGCTCGGCCATTGCGACTCTGAAAGTGATAATGATATACAAGGGCTGTTTTCTAAAACTTTTGTGCTAATTTGTCTTACCAAAATAACTGTAAATAACTGACTAAAGATAGTCCAAAAAAGTAATTAAATTAGGGTCAAGCAATTATATTTTCCAGCATAAATAAAAGACAAAATAAACACACTGAAAGGAATTGCTTTCTGAGCTCAGCATTCACTTTTTATGTACTATAAATAATTTCCGTAATGCAGTAACAATAAATGTCCATCACATTTTCAGAAAAACCCACCACTCATACTGGAAGGTCTCGAACCCGAAGTCTATTACGAATTCTATGTAGTCTCAGTGAACCAATATGGTAAGAGTGAACCTTCGCCACGGCTCATCACACGCACGCAGCCCGCTGAAGCGGTGGATGAGCCAGAACCGCGCTACAATATGACAAAATGCTGTCAGGCTTCCGGTCTGTTGCCACAATGCGCGCCACTCTGCTCGTACAATATAAAATTGTCGGATATTGAAAAACTTGGACCGGCGTGTAGAGCGCAAATGCGTAAGTATTCAAGGAGATAAAATAAAAATTGTCATAAATAATTCAGTTGTAACCAATTTCTAAACGCTTTTCTCTTCCCCCTTTTCGCATAGCTGTCATTGTACGCTGTGCCGCCGGCGGACGCGACCATACGCCCTGCTGTCAGCGTCGCGGCGTACCCACTGCTTGCATGTCCATCTGTCGCGGCGTCATGCCGCTTGCCGCCAATGGTGGTGGCAGCAATAGTGGCGCCTTGAGTGGCAGCAGTTATAGCGGCAACAACGGTACGACCTCCAGTGATTGTTTATCTTATGCGGGCAATATCTTGCAGTGCATCGAAGAGGGTGAGTAATGCCATGCTTGGTTGGTTCGACGACGCAAGGGCTGACTGTTTGCACATAGGTACTTACATTGTTGATTTCAATTTGTTAACATAAATGTATACACTGGCGGCAAAAGTAATATACTCGCCTTACTTTGCACCGTTTTGGCTATATTTCTATGGTTTATTTTATGTTTAATTTTTTTTTGTATAAAAGCCTGGCTAGTTTACAACAAACCCCCCTTTCCCCAAATTTCAAATCCCCTTTTCAAACTTTATATAAAAATTATAAAAATTCGACAAATTTTCACCAAGTTTTTAAACTTTTTATTAAAATTTTTTTTGCAGTTTTGTAGCCCATTTAACTTTAGTATAATAAAGTGCAAGTTTTAAGTGGCTCGAAAAAAAAGTTGGTTTTTGAAAATTTTTTGTTGACGATGCTAGGCATTCTCTTCCATATAAAAAATTGTCGAGCACACTTTGTTTGGGAAAAAAAGCAGAACACCGTCAGCAAAAAAATATAAATTCTTAAAAACCAACGGTATTTTGCAGCCAATTGAAATTTGAACTTTACTACACTAAAATTAAAAATTTTGAAAATTGAAAAAATTGTCTAAAAATTGTGAATAAAAAGTTTGAGAAATTGGATCAAATTTGTCGAATTTTTATAATTTTAGTTCAAACTTTGAAAAGCTGATTTATGTATATGATGTTTGTGGTACAACTACCTAGGCTCAAAAAAAAATAATAAACATAAAATAAACTAAATAAATATAGCCAAAATTCTTAAAAGTGCGACGAGTCTTTTATTTCTGCCGCCAGTGTAGTTATTTGCTGTTATTCTTTGTCTACTGCTGCTGTTGTTATTAAAGTTGTTACTTAACACTTGCTCTCATAAAAAAGCTGTTGCTGCTGCTACTGTTGTTAGTGTTATTTCTGGTTGTTTATTTGCACACACTTGTTGCTTTTATTAGCGCATTGGCCATGACGAAGGAAGATGCACTCGGCTGACACTGTTGACTGGTGCTCGCTTGCCGTTGTCATTGTTGTCGTTGTTGTTTTATTTCATTCATTATTGCGTTAACCGGTATCATTGTACGCCGTCATACAGCGTTCAATCATGCGTTGCTACTCAAGCAAACAACCTTGCGTTGTGCCATTGGCGAAGATAGCAATGACAACAAAAATAGCAGCAACAATAGCAATACAAATTATTACTTGCAACAATATTAGCTTGCTGCCAACAATGTTTGGATAAGTGGCAGCGGCAACAGTAGCAGCAACCTTCCTCCGTATTTGCCAATTAAGCAGCAATTAAAGCCAGTTTGATTGAGCTGCATACTCACATGCTTGCACTAATTCGAGAATAAATTCACTTAGGCGCACAAGGACAAGCCAACAGGCGTACGAACAAATATTTACCTATGCACTTGACTTATATGTACGTATGTATATTAGGTTGGTCCTTAAACTAATTGCACCATTTTGTACGTAGAACTGGGAATATTTCAAAATTTAAAAAAAAAATTCCAAAATGGAATCGCAACCAGGATGTGAAAAAATCCAATTTTTTAAAGAATTTATATGAATAACTTTCAATGTGCTAAATTATAACTGGTGAAAGTAGCCTTTTTTCCAATTGTTGCGATTTAAAAGAAAATTAATTTTTTCAAACACTGGTAGCGACCCCTAAATTTTTTTATAAATTTTGAAATTTTCGTGAATATTTTCACGTTGTATCTAGAACAAAATAAGGGAGCGCCCCATACAAAATTTGATATTTTTAAGGATCATCCTTGTGTGTATTGCTTGTCTTAAGTAGTATTTGTATATGTACATATGTGTGCGCATTTTCAGTAGTGTTTGTGAAAATATTGGTGTTTATATGAAAGTGATTGAGCATAAGCATTGGTAAACATAATTTAATTAGCATCTAATAACTTAGTATTGGCTTTGTTGTGAGCATTGGTATGCACATCAATTATTTTTATTCGTGTTTGCATTCGATTTCTTATTCGCATTCGATTTCGAATTCGTATTGGTATTCGTTTGCATTTTCGTACTGGTATCCATAGATGAACTCGTTTCCGTGTTCATAATTGTATTTGTATTCGTATCCGCATTCGTCTTGCATTCGCATTTCGTATTAGTATTTGTTTCTGTTTTCGTATTATTTTTCGTATTCGTACTCGTACTCATTTTGGTATTCCAAATTATATTTATACTTATATTTATACTCATATTCATAGATATTTATTTATTTACCCACATTTATACTCGCATTCATATCCCTAATGAAATCCATACTCATATTTATATTCATATTCATATTCAGATTTATATTCATATGCATATTCCTACTCATATTCATGCTCGCAATTACATTCATATTCGTGTTCATATTTATACTCATATTCATAGTATTTTCATATTGATATTTATATTAAAATTCATAGTCATATTTATATTCATATTCACATTCATATTCATATTCATATTCATATTCATATTCATATTCCTATTCATATTCATATTCATATTCATATTCATATTCATATTCATATTCATATTCATATTCATATTCATATTCATATTCATGTTAATATTCATATTCGTATTCGTTTTCCTATTCATATTAATATTAATATTTATATTCATATTCAAATTCGTATTCATATTCATATCCATACACATACTCGTATTCCAATTCACATGTATGTACATATGTGCAAACATTCGTGAATGCTTTCGGACTCGATTTCATACTGGCATTCGTATTGGTATCCTAATTTAATTTTATATCTTTGAAGTATCTATACCCCTTATCATTAAGCTTAACACTCGAATTTACCCGCTTTTTCTCTTTCTATTTCCTCATTTCCTCTCATAATTTACCATAGGCACCGAAAGCATACCCGGCCCTGCTGAAGATGTCCACGCCACGGCAGTAACAAACACAACCATCAATCTGACCTGGCGGCAACCAGGCTACGAGGCAAGCGCCTCTACATCCACCGCACCCGCAGCCGCATCATCACCAGCACCAGTCAATGAAGAAGATTCCTATAGCAGCGCGAATAATGGCGACAGCAGCAAATCCTCCACCACTAATGACATTGCCACGGCCAGCGATGCGTCCACTGCTGCTGCTACCACAGCTGATGATGATATCGATTTTATCGTGCAATATGGCAAAGTCAATAACATGACCCTCTATGAGACGGTGGCAAAACTGGAAAATGTGAGTATCATTCAAACTACCGACCGACTATTAAGTACATACATATATTCGTGCTATGTCCGTTGACTTTCAATTCACTTGCAACTGGCAATTTTCATTGAGTAAGTTGGCTATGCTGGTAATGATGCCCATACATATGTACATTAGAGTGGTTCAAAAAAAATATTCCAAAATAGGGTTTGGGGTACCTTCCGTAGTTGAAATATCTTTGCCAGTTTCACAGCGATCCAGTAGCGCATTTCAAGGTCATTGGGCACCCTGTATTGGTTGCAGTAGAAAACTCAGAGTTGGCATAGATATTACAAATATTAAAAGGAAAAAGACCAAGGGTGTGCCGCGTTTTCTAGGATGAAAATTTTTTTCCCCATACAAAAATTGGACCACTTTAATGTACATAGGTATGTGTGTACGTAAAAGTGAATGCACCAGTAAGTGCACTATTGGCTCTTAGCATATCTAGCCATTTGCAGCAGCTGGTCCTCAGACGTCAGCTCAGTTGTGGGCGATACTTCAGTTATTAGCGTTTCTTGTCTTTTTTTGGATTCCATGCAAATTACTCGCTGCCACTAATACTAGCTGATGTGATCGGTTAGGGAAAGGGGAGCTTACATTCTTGTAGTTTGACTTTTTAAACTTTTAGCTTCTGCTGCTTGCTCATAATGTAAGCCTCCTTTCGCTACTTCTCGTATGCTTGTCGGGGGCAACTGGTTTTCATTCGATTTTGTTTGCTCGGGTTAATTGTGTACAGAAATGGAATTTCGAAGAATTTGAATTGGAAAACTTGGCTAATTAGGTTATTTGTATTGCATTCAATGGGAATTGTAGAGTGGCTAAAGTGAAATCAATTAAGTTTGATTACTTTTTTTTGCCAAAAAAAAGGGCGTCCAAGGTGACTGAGAACTATTATGCGAGCTTAGCTCCATATACGTATTTAAATATGCGCTTACCTCTCTGCTTGTATAGCTACTCAGATACTAAGTACTTTCCATACCACTTGAAACTACTTCCATTCATCTTAGACTAGCTGCATTTTTTATATAAGGGATATTACTGGCGGCTTGACTAGGAAGCGCACTAAGAGGAGCGCAGATACTTGCGCCGTACCAAACCTACCACTAACGTTGGAAAGACGGTCATCACCGACCATTTTTTTGTTATATTAAGGTATTTTATACCTCAGGAAGATAAAATAACCATTCAAAGGATTTGGTTTGTTTTATTTAAACCGAGGGCCCTGCTAAAGCATCGCAGTCCGTAGAGTTTTCTCCGAAGGATTCGAATTGAATCTAGCTATGGTTTAGCAAGCGGTTTATAAGAGTAGCAATTCGCTCTACGGCACAAAGGGCGTTCTGGAAGCTGGTCGACCTATTTCCACCAAAACTCGCCTCCATTGTGAAAAGCCAAGCTGGATAAGTGGCGTGGTGTGTTCAAGAATGCCAAAGAACCCTACAATCGCTTCGACCGTATATACAGGACCGGATTAGCCATGTCGGGGCCCTTCAGCAATGTAATTTTCGGTTCCGCAAAAAGAATTTTTTACACATATATGTATGTGTACAATAATTAGGCTATTTTTTCACGTCATCATTCATCATGTACTTGTACAATGAATCAAACGAAAGGAAAGTAATGGACAAATCAATTTAAATGATTTCTCGATAAGCTTTAAATCACCGCGACAATTCTGTACACAGCTTGTTCAGTATAGGTAAATAAGTCTCAATTTTGAATTTCTCTTTTCCTCTAAGCATAATGTCTTCTTCTGCAGATCCGTCATCGTGATGCCCTTTTCCTTTCTCACTCACGTTGATTTTCAAAACTATATTGGGCATCAGTTTTCTCATTTGCCTTCATCTCGTTATCGTCAAATAATCATCGCTTTGAAAGCACAACTTCAAAAAGCGATTTGAAAAGATCGACTACCCAGTTGCCTTAAAGAACGACTTCCATTATCTAGGTCTTCCCGAGCACATTCCTAACTTCTTGCCATCAGGTTTTTGTATTCTCAGTACGTCTTTGCAACAGATTACCACATGCGATCAGAAATACATCTTAAATACATGTGTGATTTGAAAATGAATTTTTGAAGCTAAATTGGACCTGAGGATACAAATCTTCACATTAAATTTTCACTCGTTGAAACATTTTGAATTTTTTTTCTCCCTATTCGTTGCCGGCCCCTTGGCCTACACTGCCTTAAGGTAAATACGGCCCTTAGTATATATTCAATCTACACTGGGTTACGAGTCATAGTGGTTTTCCGGGAAATGAGGAAGTAGATAATTGCGCGAGAAAGATATCTGAGATATGAATAAGGAAAACTGTACAAAGCATTCAACCTGCTTTGTTTTGAGCATTGAGGAGATAGCTAGACAACAAATTAATTACAAGTGGCCTAATCTTTATAATGCACTGTGCCAAGATCGCTATGATCAATGCTCGATGAACGAAGAATACGGAGTTGCTAAATGTTAAGCATTCTAACACGAAGAAACTGTAGAACTGAGAAAGGAATAAAACCCATCCAGCATTTGGCATTCCAGTAACCCGCACTCCGACGAAAGTGTCTCAAAATTTCTGCCGGACCATTTAATCGAGAACTTAAATAGCTTAGGGCATACTGTATTGAAGGGTCTACTATTCAAGGATAGGTTTGGCGAATTTGTTTTCTGTTCATCCCAATAGTCCGATTGGGTCTCCAAGTAAAGTTTTTAACTTGGAGTGCCTTTGTAGAAGTTGTGTACTTTTTTACAAATCATATAGACCATCTTAGCTGGCACAGTTTGCGAGTAGGTTCTTAAAACTATTACTGGCTTTCTCTAATCATCTGCTCAATCAACAAGCAAAATTTAAAACGACGGAAAATCGCATTATAGCAGGTTCCTCTGGTATATGGCGAAATAAAAAGGAAAAGTTGGGCGACGAAATATCTTGGTCTAGCAGAATTTCGGTGGTGACAGTCGTACATATACCTATTTCACGTGCACATTCTACAGTTGAATGGATGCATTAGTGGTATCTAATGTGACGGTTAGCGCTGTCGTGGCACTCTTTTATATGAGTCAAGTGTGGGCTAAATATTATTCTCTTATAGGAAATGTAACGATTTCGCACCCTTATGAAAATATCTCTCGCGCTTCGATGTTTATACAGAGTGCACCATACATGACCACATAATATAGCAATAATATTATCATCAAACATCAATTCCAGGCAGCCGTTGCCGTTACCGATGCCATTTAGCTAAATTGTTGGCAAAACACAAACGCATAAATGGGTTTACAGCACCACTGGGCGGTGCCTGCCCGGCGGGCATATTCGCGTATACATATACGCTCTGCTTTAGAAGGCAGCGAAAGCTTTATTCAACCCCTGTGGGGAAAATCTCTAGTTCTGAACTGGGGCGCTTCTAGTACATTTAGACCCAGTACTGGTTCGCGATAAATCTCTTTTGCATGCAAGCAACTGGCGAATTTAACATGGCGATGTCCTAGGAAGTGTCAATTGCCCCCCGCTGCATTCTATAGTTCCGAACCAGTTCTGAAATCGACAGACGAAAGAAAGAAATCTTTTCGGTTCTTCCGTGTGCGATTTTACATTATTTTCAAAGAAACGTTTTTTCAATTTGAAATTAAATTTGTTTGAATGATTGTAAGAAATGTACGTTTACATACCTTGCTGTAGCTGACTTTGCAGAGGTGCTCGCTGTTATTGGTTAGATTCCAGATGGCCCCAAGATGTTAATATGTTAACACATAGCTTTGGTTTGTATTACCAAACTATGAAATAGCATCTGCGAAGCACAGAATAGAAGCGTATTTGAACGAAAAAGCCGCTGAACACATATCTATGTAAAGTAAACATGCCCCCCGCTGCATCCCTTATTCGATAGTTCCGAAATAGTTCTAAATTCGACAAATAGGATCTAGTTCGTTCTGCACCCCTTTTTATATAGTTCTGAACCATTTCTAAATTCGTCACTTTAGATATAGATTTGTAGTAAAAAAAGCTGAAAAAAATTAGTTTCTTAAAAGTACCACTTTTCGCCAATTTTGTAGTGGTGGGGATCTAGTTCCTATCGGACTAGTTCCTATTTGGCGATAAAGGCCTAGTACGGAACTAGAAATTTGATTCACTAGTCCGCGGTTTCCCTGGAGGGTATGCATTTGTTAGGGCATGCTTGCATCTACATACATACATACATACATACATATATGTAGAGAACACATCCTGGAAGTACACACGAATATACCACCCATAACTGCGTGCTAGGGATACCACATTTTATTTTTAGGTACACAGTTACATACAAACGTATATATGTATGTAGATATGTATATTATACTGTGTCAGCAAAAAAATAAAAAATCGCTGTACATCTACGTATCCAAAGCACCGTGGCAAGGCATTCTCGACCCCTACGTTTTTACATTTTCATAATAGCTTCGGCATGTATAGTCGGATCTGAAAGCATGATTTATCGGTCTCGATCAGAATTTTTTTTATTCTAAAGTGAGGTAACTCAAGTACTTGCCCACCATATCTCAATTCTTATCACCCTAATGTCAGTCAATCAAAACTCGCCAAAAATCGCTAAAGTTTTGCTAAGGAAGTACTTTGTTTTAAAGGCAATTTAAATTTTTTTTGGCTGAAAGTAAGCGTGGGCTTTTAACATTGTCATTCCTATATTCGGCATATATGTACAGTCGGATCTCATAGTATGATATATCGATGTTTTTTTCACGAAGTTAGCCTCTTTTTGTACTAAAGCTCATTGACCTCAAGTACCCTTTTCTAATACTTATCCACCAGATCTCAGTTCTTATCACCCTAACGTACCGCTCTAATCCCAGTAAATTAAATTCCACCAAAAATCATTAACGAAGTGTTTCGAGTATTTCAGTGGAACTATTTATAAAAAAATTGTATTGCCGAAAGTAGGTGTCACAGAAAGATTAACAAAAGGCGACCCTAAGGTTTGGCCAAACAAATTTTTTTGC